AAAAGATTTATGAAATCCACCTTGATGGTGATTGGACAAAACCTCTTTCTGAAACTACCAAATTTGAACTTGACCATGCAGGCCCAGTAGATTGAAATCTTTACTGGAAACCTCCTGAAGTTATCCCACAAATGGAATGGCAAGATTCTCAAGACCCACTTGATGATTTTGATCCAGATCAATGGTTAGTCAACATCGACTATGATTTCACAATAGGCGTAGATAATTCACACCTCAACCTTTCTTTAGAACACACTCAACGTTCTCTCAAATGATGACACTCATGGTGCTTCCAGACAGAAGATTCCCTATTCTAATCCAATATTGTATAATTATGCGTGATGCTCCAAAAGACTCCACAGAAGTTGATAATGATGCCTTCACATCAAGACAACCTTATGTCAAGTCTTCATCAACTTTATGTCTTAGTTAAGTCATAATAAGTCATTGTATTTTAGTATGAGTCATAATGATGAGTCATCGTACCATAAGTGATGAGTCACTATACCATAATAATGAACTTTTGTACTATAGTAATGAGTCATTGTACTTTAGTTATGACTCACCATCCTTTAGCTTTATCTTAAGCCCCTTGTAAAGTTGTTTTATCCTAGTCTTGTCTTATTAGGCTACTATTCTTTTACTTTTTCCATGTATAAATAGAATGTTACTTCTCTAGGAAGTAATCATCCAACAAGAATTGAAGAAAAATAAAAAATCCCTTGTAACAAAACCTTCCTTTATAAAATATGTTTGGCTAAAAACCTCTCTTCTCTTTTGGTGCTTCCATCTTCTTTTTTCCATAGTTACATATTTTAGCTTCATAACTTCTCTTCAAACTATTCAAAGTTTGTAGTGATACAAGTTAAGTATGCTCTGCAGTTGCCATATTATTATGGATCCTCTGCATCAGAAATTCTTGTTACTCTGTTAAATAGATCGTTGATCCCTTTCCCTCAGCCAAAGAAAAGTCATATCGCCCCAAGATCATACTAATAGTAAGTTACTATAATGAAAGACATATCTCCATAAAAGTCAGGCCCCCAGTTCGACGTTAAAGCCAAAAAGGCACCAGAGTCTTGAACATTGGCTAGAATATCTTGGTTATATGTCTGATCTATGAAAAGCTTATGGTTGGTATTATCTTGTCAAGTTTGATCGATCTACATGCTGTTGTCATAGTACCAGATAGTATTGTCAGGATTTTACCACTTGGAGAGCCCAGAACTGAAGCCGTGTCAGTTACCAAAGCCTTGGCCGTACTATCTGCCACTGTGTATAAAAAGGTCATCTTTGAATTTGGATAAGACATGACAGCTACATGTGGCCCCACATGTGCAATAAATAAAATTAATGGCAGCGCCCACGTGCTTGTTTTGCTTTCAGATGGAAATACACCATATTTTCTAAAGCCCAAGATAAAACCCAAAACTAGTTAATTTTCCCATTGGATTAGACTCAGGCTTCAGAAGCCAATTATCACTCTACACTAAAAGAGATTTTAGTTGTAAAGTATGGTATCCAAAGATTTGAATTTCACCTCATTGAATTTCACTTTCTCGTGGAATTAGATATGTTAGCTTTTGATCAGATACTTAATTTAAAAAAGAAAAAAATACCAAATACACAGTTACTCAGGCTATCACAGTGGTTCTCACAGTACTCCTTCACCATCGCACATATAAAAGGCAAAGACAACATCATCCCAGACATGCTCACAAGACCTCCTTTGAAACCTCCTTCAAACACCTTGCAGGTTATTCCAGTCATTTTCATAATGTACCCAACACCTTCTTCTTCACAAGCCTCTTCCTCAAATAACCCTCTTTTCCTCTTTTCTCAAAAACCTCATCTTGATGATGAATTTGATCTACCTGATGAATTTTTTAACCTTCCCGTAGAAAATCTTCCTCCAGAGTTACCCAGATTTCATACCACTCAAACCCTTGACTAAAAAGCCTCACACATCTTGCTCAAATATCAGTCCAAAACACTCAAAAAGTTTGGAGACACCTCTTTTCAATCTCTTAGTATACACCCTGATTATCCTTTTATCCATCTCTTTAAATTCTCTGAACCTCTTTATTTCCCAAAAGAAACAGTTTGTTTTATGTGGTACCTTTGTCACCTTTACTATATTGCTATAGAATTCCCCTTCCAAAGCTCAAAACCCTTCTTCACCTTTTTCAGCAGTCAACCATCAACCCTACTAAACACCAGTTGGACCCCAGTCACCAACATCTCAAGTTTTTCTTCACCTGGTTCAGACCCATTCCCATTTGGATCCAATGGATTGAAATCTATGAGAGATATACAAAAGTTCTTCATGATCCTTATATTATTTTAATCTTTCACAGATCTTGTAGTTGTTTGACAAAAGACCCCCAGTATTTCCCTATGGAGTAATTTACAGCTCTTAAAGATATTCGCTGTTTGATTTTCAATTTGATCACCCAGTTGAATACATTGAATTTCAGAGACAAATTTGTGAAATGAATCACAAGTTTCTCAAGCAAAATTGGTCAGAGCTCCATGATGAAGTTCCATGGGAAAACTATCCTTCAGAATACACTTATCAGCTCAAAATTGATAAAAAGATTTATGAAACCCGCCTTGATGGTGATTAGACAAAACCTCATTCTGAAACTATCAGATTTGAACTTGACCATACAAGCCCAGTAGATTGAAATCCTTACTGGAAACCTCTTGAAGTTATCCCACAAATGGAATGGCAAGATTCTCAAGACCCACTTGATGATTTTGATCCAGATCAATGGTTAGTCAACATCGGTTATGATTTCACACCAGGCGCAGATAATTCACCCCTCAACCTCTCTCCAGAACACAACGTTCTCTCAAATGATGACACTCATGGTGCTTCCAGACATAAGATTTCCTATTCCAGTCCAATATTGTATAATTATACGTGATGTTCTAAAAAACTCCAAAGAAGTTGATAATGATGCCTTTACATCAAGATAACCTTATGTCAAGTCTTCATCAATTTTATGTCTTAGTCAAGTCATAATGAGTCATCGTACTTTAGTATGAGTCATAGTGATGAGTCACTATACCATAATAATAAACCTTTGTACTATAGTTATGAGTTATTGTACCTTAGTTATGACTCACCATCCTTTAGCCTTATCCTAAGCCACTTGTAAAATTGCTTTATCCTAGTCTTGTCTTATTAGGCTACTATTCCTTTACTTTTTCCATGTATAAATAGAATGTTACTTCTCTAGGAAGTAATCATTCAACAAGAATTAAAGAAAAATCGAAAATCCCTTGTAATAAAACCTTCATTTATAAAATATGTTTGGCTAAAAACCTCTTTTCTCTTTTGGTGCTTCCATCTTTCTTTTTCCATAGTTACATCTTTTAGCTTTATAACTTCTCTTCAAACTATTCAAAGTTTACAGTGATATAAGTTAAGTATGCTCTGCAGTTGCCATATTATTATGGATCTTTTACATCAGAAATTCTTGTTACTCTATTAAATAGATCGTTGATCCCTTTCCTTCAACCAAAGAAAAGTCATACCGCCCCAAGATCATACTAATAGTAAGTTACTATAGTGAAAGACATATCTCCATAAAAGTCAGGCCCCCAGTTCGACGTTAAAGTCAAGAAGGCGCCAGAGTCTTGAACACCAACTAGAATACCTTGGTTATATGTTTGATCTATGGAAAGCTTATAATTGGTATTATCTTGTCAAGTTTGATCGATCTACACACTATTGTCATAGTACCAGATAATATTATCAGGACTCTACCACCCGGAGAGCCCGAAATTGAAGCCATGTCAGTTGCCAGAATCTTGACCATACTACCTACCGCTGTGTATAGAAAGGTCCTCTTTGAATTTGGATAAGACATGAGAGCTACATGTGGCACCACATGTGCAATAAATAAAATTAATGGCAGCGTCCACGTGCTTGTTTTGCTTTCAGATGGAAATACACCATATTTTCTAAAGCCCAAGACAAAACCCAAAACTAGTTAATTTTCCCATTGGATTAGACTCAGGCTTCAGAAGCCCAACATTATGATGTTTTACTTTAAATTGGGCCGTTAATTAAAGCTAGTCCTTAAGAGCCTGTCAAAGAGTATTCCAACCTGGGCCAAGTCTGCCACAGAGCGATATTGGACTCAGAGATGAGTTGTGCTGGATTCCTATAATTGGATTTTCATTTGAAATATGTAAGTCTATATTCCAAGTTGGTCATGATGGGCTGCTCTTCCAATTCAATATCGGCCCAAAATTCTACTTTTTTTTTCTTTAAAGAAAATACTTGAACTTATCTATACTCCTATTTATTAAAAGAATCCCTTAAATCTTCTACACATAATAAATTATCTATTTTATTGTATAAAATAAAAATTATAAATTTTTATTTCATTTTAATTATACTCATTAAATTTTAAAAATTAATGAAAAATATTCAATTGACATAATTTTTAAAATAATGTCCTTCAATTCATCTAAATAAATATAGGTATTTTTTTATAAATAAATTAGTTAAGTAAAAAATATTTACAAAAGTTAAATATTTTATATTTTCAAAATTTTAATTATAATAAAATAAAATTTTCAAGAGGGATACTTATTTCTCTCTTTGGGTAAGATTTGAGAGCTTATCCGATTATTAATGTGAAATGTGAAAGTGAGACAAAAAAGTTTATCATAGCACTATGCTGGAAATTTTTGACAATAAAGGAGCTAGGGCGACCAGATAGAATAGAATTTAAAATAGAATGGAGACAACCGAGTTGGCACCCTGAGTCCATATCATATTTTGACTCGGAAAGATTCAGTGTACGAAGGGATCTTTATTGGCAAAGTTACAGCAGCAAGGCCCCATCGATGCATGAATATAAGGCCATTCTTTGAACCTGAGTAGCGCAGTTCACACTGACTTCCAAGCCCCACGTCCTCAATGTACTCGGGAGGCCCCACGTATCAAAAATACCCATTCTCATTTGTCATTTGTCATGTGTTTCATTTAAGAACCCTCGCATGTTCTTATCTCCAACCGATAAGCCCAAACGCGCTGTTCCCAATTGTTAAATTGACCATTTTCCTCCTTTTTTTTCCACATGAATTTACAAAATCAAACTACATTTCCTTTTTTTTTTTCATTCCTTGTTTGTCACCTGAGCTTGTGTACAGACAAGAGTCTACGCCAAGTGTGTCTATGAGAAATGACAGTAAGCTTTGCTGTCGACACGAGCAAACAGGGTCTCCATGCCAAGTATCATCCCAAGCCCATTTTAAGACACGTTTCAGGAAAGCTTAATTACCTCCATTTGAGCTCTTATCGCCCTTTTCTGTCGTATAAATACCATTAACCTCTTTCAAGCAATGTGCTTATCAATCACTTTCCTCATTTTTTTTCTTCCCCCCGTTCTCTGTTGGAACAATTTCAACATCAGTCATGGATGGGTTTGGAGACAGAAAACAAGTCAAGAAGCCTGCACAAGCAAGCTCGAGAAAAGGGTGCATGAGAGGAAAGGGAGGTCCAGAGAATGCTCTCTGCACTTATAAAGGGGTCAGGCAAAGAACTTGGGGCAAATGGGTCGCTGAAATTCGTGAACCCAACCGTGGTGCACGTCTTTGGCTTGGAACTTTTGACACCTCTCATGAAGCTGCAATGGCTTATGATACTGCCGCCCGCAAACTCTACGGCTCCGATGCCAAGCTCAACTTGCCAGAATTATGTGTCAACCCTCAATATCCAACTTCTTCAGCTAATGCTCAGGCTGCTCCAATAGGGAACCATCCTAAAAAGGTGAACAATCCAGGTACGAGTTCATCAAATAGCCCAATTTTCATGGCCAATAATATTACACCAGTGTACAATAATGACTCAGTCATGTCTTTCCACAACGAGAACATTGATTCTCAAGGGAACCTGGCGGAGAACAATGCAAAATTTGGGCAGAATGAAGATGGAATTGATGGGTTCTGGGAGAATATGAGTGTGAACTTGCCTGTTTTAGATGACTCCATTTGGGCAGAGGCTGCTATGTCATTAGATTTCCCAGTGATGGATGATCCAGGCAGTTTTGCTGGCAACCTTGTGGACGCAACGGGCTGGGACGCCTTGCAATCCCCGTGGTGCATGTGAAGCTAAGCTAGCTGTTAGCTACGTGGAACGTAAAATTCACATAGTCTTCTGTGCATAAATGTGTAAATAGAATTCTGCAGTGTCCTACTGTCTTACACTCTATAGTAACAGCCACGAAAACCACATGTGTTTTTCTGGGTTTGTCGTGGCCATAAGTTTTTTTTCTTTTTTCTTTTATTTATGTTTCTGTAAATATCAGTCACGCGCTGTTCTAGCCAGCCAGCTTCTATGTCGAGCTGCAACACATGTTTCGTCCTAGAATAATTTCTAAAACAACCAACAGTAGTAAGTTTTTCTATCTCATTACTTGGTTTCTGTCAGAAATGGATGGGCTAAAATTAATTAATCCAAAGCTTTTATGATCAGTATCCATAATATTTGCAGATGTTAAAGAATTTTCTACGTTACACTAAAAACGTTGAAAAAAAAGAAAAAGAATCCATGTTTAGTTCGAAACGCTTATTACGCACTTTATTGATAATAATCTTCTTGTTCTCTTTCTCTTGTCAGCATCAGCAGTTTTTCCGAGTACATTTGTTCCGTTTTTTTGCTGATACATACAAAGAAAAAACATTTGTTCGGTTTTTATTTTTCCAACAAAAGACCAAACCTTTGTTCACCCCCTTGTTTTTGCTGAGAACTTTTGTTCAGTGTTCACACACTAATTTTAAAACCCAAAACATTATCCATCATGACAGGCAGGGGGCATGTTCCAATTAGCTACCATATTGTTAGAAAATACTATTAAATTCTGCTAAATAGAGTAATTGACAGGAAACTATAAAAGGCTACAAAATATTTTCCCAAGGGATTCCAATATCTGTTGTGAAGCCATAAAGAATCAGCTTCGATAGCATATCCATCTTGATTTCGATGCCAACTATAGGTCCGAGCAAAATTCTATTAAATTTGAAAAAATCGAAAAAAATTTAAATTTTCAGAGGAAATTGGATAATTATAAGGTTGAGTAAAATTTAGTTAAAATCAAAAAAATAAAAAATAAAAACTGAATTTTTAAAGGAAATGAGTAGGATAATTTGAGTTATATAAGTATTTTGATTATTATTTCGGTTTAAATAATTAAAATGATCGGTTTTTTATTTTAAAATACCTAAACCAAATAAGTTAAAATATTCTACTTAATACAAAATAAATAATTAAAAAATATATATGATATAGGTGTATCCAATGATATGATATAGATATATTTAATATAAGAAACAAAAACTAGAATTATCAAACTCAAAAAAATCGATCGAAACTGATTATTTTAATTTAATTTAATTTTTTTTTATACATATCGATTAATTTGATTTTTATAATAAATTAAATTGATTAAATTAATTATTTAATTTTTATAATTAAATTAATCAAATCAATCATTTACTCACCACTAATGTCACATAAAGGAGGTATTTTGATTTATTGATACTATAATTTTGTAATAAAATATGTGGTGCGGCTACTGTGGATCTGTCCCTGAGAATAAACCATCAAGCATCAACCCTGACAAAGAGTCACCAAATAATCCAGATTTGGACAGTAAATTTCCTGTTGGTGATAAATGATGAACAAGTGCACATTTAATGAGCAAATAATAACACCCAAATACGAGTTCTCAAAGTTCTCCAAGTGGAGTTTGGTTTTCCATAGATCGCCAAAAGGTGAGGCATAGGGTTCTGATCTGGTCATCTCTGAATAAGTTGAGGATCAGTATCTTTTCCCGCATATATGCAGTGGTAAGTAGCATTCCATTGTAATTGCATCCCATATCACAATTCATGTATATAGATCCCAGCAGCTAATCTTAGAAAGAAATAATGTGAAAGATGCAATCAAGTTCAACTCATAAAAAATTCCTTCTAGAAGTGTTGGAAATTTGAGAAAAAAGGACAGTATAATGGGCTAAATTCTACAGTCTGACTGGCTATGGTTTCTGTTCCCTTGGAAATGCTTAGATATCTATTACCCAGTCAGAAGTTTTACACATAGGCCTTAGATGGTCTAAAAACCTAGGTTGAGAGACCCGAGAAAAATGGCCTAGAGGCCCAAATAATCACTGTTGGACCATGTTTGGATCTGCTAAGTGTTGGACCAAGTAATCTGGGCCATGTGTCATTTTTCTCAGGGAACGGTTTTGTTGATGCTATCACCCTCCAAAGACAGCCTACGTTCGCCCCTATGCACGGCCAGACCATGCATAAAAGCAACCGACAGGCGACAACCAATCAGCTTTTTCTCTTCGGTGGACTAGCTCTTATAGCCCTTGGAACCGGCGGTATCAAGCCATGCGTTACATGCATGATTATACAAGTATATGATGAAACAATGGGGCAGGCATCTCCTCAACGCAAACAACCTTTTTTTCTTTTTATATTAATGTACTTGACCACTCAAGTTTCTGCAAACTGCCGCTAGAAAATGAAACACCCAAATGGTCATAATTAGCCATCAATGATTTGCAGTTAGGACTTAGGACAATTCCATTGAGACAAAAACATTGTTTGGGCGAAAAGGAGTAACTAACTAAGACAGCAAAGATGAGAAAAACTTAAAAAGAAAAACAAAATGATGCATATTCCATTGACATCATTAAAAGCTAAAGCATCTTATTATAAAACAAAATTGCTTTTGCAAAAGGTTACTAATTGGAAATTTCCTAATGATGCCAATCTCTTTAATGAAGCATTAATCTTGGGATCTGCTGGCCTACATTATTAATTCAACTAGGATTTTCAGTAGTAATTCTGACGTCAACACAGGATTTTAACAGGTGGGTGAATATAGGAATTCAACCAAGACACTTCTACTTCAAGCGATCTATTAATGCAGTAAATTTGTAAATTTAGTGATAAGGGATCAATCTCTTTTAAGTTTTTACATACAGTTAAGAAAGACTTCTTGTTGAGATCATCTTCTATAATTTATTTTTGATGTCCATTACATAAATAGTGCCATTAGAATCATTTAACAACATTCTTTTTCTGGTACGTAAAATTAATACGGATTGATTTCTTGCCACTAAAATTAAAAATTTAATCTTCTAACAATAAACCATGCCAACAACATTTGATTTCAAGTTATCCTAGCAAATTAGATATACACTTAGTTTGGTGAATTTAACTTTTAAGTACCAACTTGTTTATGCATGGAAAGAGTTGTAGTACAGACATTGAAAACAAATAATGGTTGGTTAAAGCAATAAGTTAAACCATACAGAAAATAGCCAATTGAAGCTAACTAAAAGTGCTGCTTGTTCAAGTTATTGCGCTTTTCCTTTTGTTCTTTTTAAAGCTTTGATAATCATATCACTTCCCCTCTATCTTCGATAGTGTTATCTGTTTGTCACTTCGCTTTGCATGTAATTTCCGTCACTCGCTTCCAAACATTATATAAATTTAGTTAACATCCAAATGTAGGAGAATGCATGTGGTGATATCCTGTCAGTTTCTTTCTTTATGACGCGTTTGATGTTTTGCAAACAACTTGTTTATAAATTTCATATGAAAGATCAAACAAAAAGGAAGAGTGGAAAAATCTTATATGATTATTCTTGGTGTAAATGAAAATTGTTTAATTAAAATAAGAGTGGTTATGATGGCATATAAAAGAAAAAAGAGCATGTTTCTTGCCTTCTTTAATCCAAAAAGGAATAGTATTGCAAAGCATTGTTGCTATGTGTGGGTCCAGTCAAATCATGCAACATAATGGTTTTGAGCATCAACTTCATAATTTGCATATCTTTTACCATCTTAAATCAAACCATAAAATGAACATGTAAAAAACATATGGGATTTTCAGGCCCCCATAGGCCACACAGGTGTGACAGTGATCATCATCATCCCCTTTCAAAAACGCTTCTCTTTTAACCCTCTCTGCTACTTGATAAAGCCATTGACTAATAAAAAAGAGGAAAAGGAAAACAAAATCATTCACACACAAACTTTCTGATATAGGCAGTGCTTCCCATTTGTCTCTGCCATTTTTTTTTAATCCATCAAGAAAAGTTAGGGGTTTTATAGTCAAACATTTTCAGCTGTGGGAGGGAGAAGTGGCTGAGTGAGGGATGGCTTGATATGGCTTGATGTTCTGCTGTTGCTGTGTTCCGGAGTCGACTGAATTGCAGCCTTTTCTTGAGCTGCAAACTTTCTCTCTTCACTTTTTCCCAAAAGCACTAGGTACAATCCTACTATGATCAACACTGCCCCAATGATCCTGTACATTTACAAAAAGAAAAAAAGAACTTGTGTTAAATTCATGTTCAGTGAAAAAAAGGTATCAATACTAAGTTGATCACAATTCACAAGCTTAATCATGACAGATATTTTGATCCAACGGTTGGGGACGAACATTTTGTCACCCAACTTTAGCAGATGATTGATGAGTTGGGAAGAAAAGGACACACTTACCCTCCCAAATAGAACTCTTCCCCTAAAGCAATGGAAGCCATAATGGCGACAACAAGAGTCTGAACAGGTTGATAAACGGCAACGAAGACAGGGCCACCTCTGTCAATGCACCATATCTGCACAGCGAATGCAATCCCTGATGCCACCACTCCCTGCAATTTCCACACAACTTTTTTGGTCTCGTTTCATTTTCAATAACCCACCACTTTTTTTTTCTAATGTACTACAACTTAACAACTATTAGAAGAAATCTTTGAGAATAAATGGTTAATAAATTCCACATGAACTTGAACTAAAATATTTTCTTATAAGCAACTATTTAGCACAGGTTGAAATGGTACACATTTAGGCTTTTATTTTCTGAAGTTAGCTTGAGGGACTTAATTTTGAAATTCCCCAGGGAGTACAGAAGCTCCCTTTGGGTTTTGAGAAGGTATTTTCATGAAGTAAAAAGACAGCAAACCAGCTTTCCCAGCCCAAGACATTTTAGAAAGATTTATCAAAACCCATAAAGCATTGCTTTTGACATGGATGTTCATTAAAATAAAAGATGTAGAAGGATCTTTCCGTTAAGCGAATCCCCTTTCACATTATAAAAGGAAAACCAAAAAGTAATTGTGTGCCAAGAATTTCAAGAAAGAATAACTCCCCTATGTGCCAAAATAACTTTTCTTTCACTGGTTATATAAAATGTTTTTCTCATTTTCCATGAATCGGAAGTAGCTAATGGTATTTCATTACTATCCTATATATAGGGTATATTTAATTGCTCAAAATTTATCTGCTAGCTGCTGGCCGGCTGTTGATTGAATTTATATATCCACTGAAATAATTTTACTTGAACCGAAAGTTGTGATCACTCAGCTTAAAGGATACTTTCCCTTACAAAAAAAAAAGTAATTCTGTGAATGGTTTGACTATGGACTGATGAGTTACTGACCGCATAGAGAATAGTGAAGAGTTCTCCGCCAGAATGGAAAATCCAAGCTTGAGGGTCTCTCTCAAAAAATGCGGCAATGATCAAGAACTGAATAAGACCAAAGAAACATGTATAGGAGGTCACGGAGAGTCTAGCTGGGTACTTCTTCAGGACTGGTGCCTGCAACACCAACCAGCCGGACCAGGACAAGCAATGGCCAATTAGATAGAGACAACCAAGGGTCCAGCTCTTTCCCTTTGCATCTCCCAATGAAACAAACATTGTTGTGGGTCTATTCAGAGGTGGAGCGGGGCTGTATACGGGTGGACCTTTGTATAGAGTTATCACTGATGCTCCAGCCACACACAAGATTGTTCCTATAACCTTCGCGATCCCATCTTTTCGATTTAGGCGCACTTTTTCTATCCTGAAAACAAGAACATGCAAATGAATACATTCAGACACATTTCTATGTCATGTCCCTGCGTATTTCTTAATTTATTTCCTGTAACTTAAATGTATACTATGTATAACAGAGGAATTACGTGCTTACCGGAGTATGGCTGCCATGAGAAAGGTAATGGCTGGGACAGAGTTTTGGATTGCTGATGCAAAGGTTGGTGTTGTGTTGTCTAAGCCCAGCAAGTAGAAACCTTGGTTTGCTGTGATTCTGTCACGTAAAAAAAGGAAATAAGACCAGTTAGTTTTGCTTTTATTACAGTACTGAACATGGTCCTAACCATGTGATGAATTAGCTTTTTTTTTTTTTTATACTTTAGAGTTTAGAGCATGGTCATGCGTACCCAACAAGAGCAAGGAGGAAGAATTGTAAAAGAAAATTTAGAGTAATAGCTGGTCTCTCCTTCCTGGACAAATAAGAAATAAATGTTTGAAAAACAAGTTAGGGTTTAGTACATCAAGGGGTTAAAAGCAAAGAGAAATGTGATTATGCTTGTATAGGAATGTTAGAAGTGATTTACTTTTCAAGAAAATATGCAAAGGGAAGGAGCAGAAGCAAAGCAATTATATTCCTATAAACTGTGAACACAAGTTTGCTAATGCCCATGTTAAGGGCAGCTCTGGAGACCACATGGAAACCTGCATAACCAAACTGCAAGGCCAACATGGCAATATGCAGCTGGAGCCTTTCAGGAACAGAAAACCACATCCTCTTAGCAGACGCTGAACCACCGGCATCAGCCATTGAAGCAAAGTCTTGAGACTAACAGAAACGGAAAAAGTGAATTTAACAAGAGATTAAGGAAACTTGAGGATGGGGAGCTAGGGAATGAAGTGGTGGTATAAATATACTCCAAGGAGGGAGAAAAAAAAATGGAGATTTTAATGTGGATGGCCCCACAAGGGCCCTAAAAATACATTATGTCAACTGTTAGTTGCCCTTCAAATGTTTTCGGTTGTCTCGCACTTCTGCTACAAAATGAATAGAAAGTGAGAGAAAATTGAAAAGAAAACGAGAGAAAAGAAAAGAGAAGATTATTTACTACACTGTTATCTGGCAGGTGATTTGTTTTGGCTCCATGCCATTAATGATGATAATTTAAGGTGATAGAGTGAGCCGCCATTGATAGATAGCGCGCACGAGGGGGAAGGTGGGTGCCCCATGCGTTTTCATGCCCCATGAAAGCCTTCAACCTCACCATTCCCACCTCACACTTACTACAAAGCTTTACATTTCTTGTATTTTTCTATCTTAATCTTCGTTAGTTTAATACATAGTAATAGTAAAAGATTTCCATACCCCACCAGACCACAAATTCCACCTTATCAATCCCTACCATTCAATAAATTAACAAATTCTTGTCAGAAGAGCCCACCTGATAATCCATTGGAACATGCCTGATTTCCCAACTAAATTTGTCAATATAACAATAAATTAATTATGTTGAACCAAGCTGCAAATGGCTTATTTGTCTTATGATCACTAACATAATATAACCAAGGTCATGCAATCAAAGCGATCTACTTTCATTTGAAAGCCAAATAATCAACTGAACAACTCGATTATCAACGGTTTAAGATCATTAGCTCAAAGACTGCTTTAAACGAGAGGGTCCACTCGGTGCCTGCAAAAGAGAAGAGAAAATGGACTACATTTTTTTTTCTCTAGAGCAAGGACCATGGTATTTAAAAAGTAGCTTCCAACAGGAAGAATCCATCTTTTTTACATTTTGCAACTTTCTTTCTCTCCTCTATACTAAAAATGTCAAAAGATGTATTAATGTACCATTAATGGGTCTTTATCTTTTGTTATTAAAGATGTTGATCATCCTTTCCCAGGAACCTAATGAAGTGTTTCCACTAAGGTTCCCCTCCCAAAGTTTGCTCAAATTTGGTTTTTTGTTTCTGATCTCAACTCCCTTGCTTTCATAGACATGTTGGCCCCCCTCAATTGAGACCACATCATTCTAAAATTCAAAAAAAAGAGGCCTGCCCCCGGAATTAAAAGAATATGTTACTCTTTTTCATCTGGCAGTAAATGATTTAGTCTTTACTCATTCTTTTAACAAACATGGTGTGTCTTAGGAAGTGCAAGAAGAGATGGATTGAAAGCACGAACCGGTCGGACACCGCCATCTCCAATCCAGTTGTGATCTTAATTGCATTTAGCACAGCTTCATTCTCTTTAGGGTCACATAAGTACACGACAGACAGCTAGAATAGATTTTGTTTGCACGGGAGAATCTTCAAAGTCAGACTCTGGTCGAGGTCTGAGTCGACTCGATTGTTAAACTCAATTCCACCTCCCTTCTAACAAGCATAGTACTAATTTCTTGATAACAATTGGCCATATGTTTTTATTTTAAGTTTAATTTAAAAGGGAAAGTCCAAATAAACATGAGATCTCTTATTGGCCTTCGGAGCACAAAGATGGATATCCCAAAATTCCGCAATGGTAGGGCATATAAAAATCTATATTTGTATAGTGGACTTCTATTTCATCTATGATTCTGGCTATAAATAGAAAAAAAAAATACAGTCCAATAACGCTTGTTAATTAGTTCATTAAACTTGGTGCTTAATTATAAATTTATAATTAAAGAAAAATTAAGTTGTTTTAGCCCTTGATCATATATATACACCAGATTAATGGTTGAAGCATATATTTTCATATACACACAAACGTGTATATATATATATATATATATTGAAATTATAATTTAAACCAAGCTAGTTGATTAAATATTCAAAATTGTCCAAAAATTCATTGCTAATTATGGATGGAGGCATGCAATTATGCAGCACTCCTTAATTTGTACATATAATTATCAGTAATAATGTTTGCTAAGCACTTATGCTACAATTTTCTGTGAAACTCTGAAAAAGTTTATGATTTGACCTTTTTTTTCAAAATTAGTTCACCTTAGCAGCAGGGTGACAGATTTACTTAACTCTAGTTGAATTTCATGATTAAGAATTTTGAGAGCTGGTTGGAAATAGTTGTGGAAATCGATTAAGTTGAACAAGTTGAAATCATAGTTGATCGGTAGCCATATAACATGATGTTGAGCACCTTCCAGACAACGTCAAGTACCTTGTTTGTTTCCCATGGTCCTCTCTCACTAATCTGCCATGGACAGTTCAACTTTGATCTCATTGGTTGTTCATGTTAAGTCATATTCAAATTTAGTTTTCGCTACAGGAATTTAGCTATATTTTGCAATTTGGGTTACAATCAAAATTAAAAGTCTAAAATCCATTTTCTTTTTAAAGACTAATATATATATATATATATATATATATATATATATAATCTACTTAGCTGAGTAGCTGACTGACCCCTTTTGATCTCTTTTTATAGTTGAGTCGCATTCAAGTGAGTTTTATTACATGAATCTCACTATTGCATTCTAGATTGATCAAGTTCTAACTGGGCCTTTTCTGCTTCAGTTTTGTTGCCTGTTTTTTGGAGAACATATGCACCAGCAAGTGAACCAGGGCCGCTCATTCAATTCACTAGTAAGTGGGACATTGTTTGAATACAACATTACGTGGGATATCACTCAGCACTAAGCAGACCCATTGACGAAAAAAACGATCAAGCAAAGAGGAGATAAAAGTAGGAAATTTTGTCACCCTGGAAACAAAGATCAATTACAGTACTAATTAAAAGCTTTGAGACCATATCTCATTGGCCTGGAGCCCTGGATACAATCCAGGGTGGGCTATGAAAAGCCTAGGTCGAGTTATGCTGCTTTATGGGCAGTTTGTCGGCTAACCTTAGTTCAATTGAACGATGAATCATGACTCATGAGCCTTGACGTGTTACAAGTTTTGCTTAAGAATGTTTACGACTGGCTCGCAAACCAACTTCCAAGACATAATAAGTCACAGGATTCAATAGGTGTGTTGCTAGGGATCACCAAAGCTTGGAATTTTGCAGTAAGCCTTTCTTCCAAAAGGTGCAAACATTACCCTTCACGTTTCTTGAACCTGTTACTTTTGGAGATAAAAAAGAAAACAACAATAACTCAATGAATCCCAATGATCTCCAGCTTTGATGAAATTGAGATTTAGAAACCAGAACCCTGCTATCTCCTACCTTTGGAAAGATCCCCCTAGCTTTATGTGGGTTAGCTCTTTTCCAGTTTTCCCTCGTAATCAGGTAAGCCACTAGTGATTCTTTTATTGCTTTTGCTTGGCGCTTTCGGCACATAAAGTGATTCCACCCACCCACACCCACACTGTGGTCGAGCTAAGACAGAAACATTTGGTGAAACTAACTAGTTTTCACATGCTTTTTGTTTGAGGCACCCAACACGATTAGATAGGTTCATGTAATTTTACAAATTGCGTCTGCTATCGTCTAATTAACAAAGGGGCTTGAAAACTGGATCATCAATCCCAATTAGGCATTAGACATGGTTATGTTGATTGCTTTCCAACTTTCTGACTGAAAAATCTTTCTTAATGGTTAGGCATTAAATCATCAAAATTGACTAACTTCCTACTATGCAAGGCTTTTCTCCCTTTTCTGCTTGGCTTTATCATATATGCATACAACCGTCTCATGATTGGAAAGTTAGGTCCCAAAACAAAGAAATAAAAATTGCTTGGGCTATAGGCCATGTTATCAGCTGGTAAATGTTGCTCATTGCTCAGAAAGCAAAAGTTTGATGAATTACAATTCAACTAAACATTGCATGTACCAACGTGAGGCACACTTTTTTGTGTATGAGAACAGTGAATTTTGCATGAAAATTTACGTTACTGTCTTACATGATTTAGGAACATTCCAATTTTCCAATTTGACAAAGACATTAAATTTTTAAACTGAAAATTTTTAAGGACCTTAGAGAAGCCAGAATGAAATGGAAAATTTTTAAACTGAAAAATGAAGCATGGGAAGGAGCTGAAACCCAGTGCGAATGAAACGAAAACAATTATTACATCTTGGGCTTTGATTGATGGGTTATAAATAAATTTTCCTGTCTTTCACCCCCAATTTGATTTCTTATTATTCCCTAACTTGTTTGATGTTGGGTTCACAATTTGCAAGTTTTGGTTTCTTTTCTTATTTGATGAGTATATAATTAATTAGTTCTGCTTTGGGTCGAAAGTTGAAAGATCTGCACGATAATTTTAAAGCAAGAATCCACTTCAGAATGGAACTTCTTTCTTTGATGTGTAAGTCAAATGCCTTCTTAGGCCAATTGGCACATCCTATATGGTAATCCATAAACATATCCACTATCCGGCCATCACCGGTACTTGAAGAATTAATGCCAGATTAGAGACAAGAAGATTTAAACAAGTGCCTTGTGAAGCAAATTAAAGTAGTGGCAAGAAACGCAAGAAACAAAAGTCAGCACTCTAGCACCTCCCCGACTCAGCAGGATCAAAATGCAAATACACAACATAAATATCACAATAGATTTTATTTATTGATCAGCCTTTGAAATTATATTTTGATTTAGATATATTTGCCCTCCCTAGTCCCCTACTCAGATATCAGCAAAGATTGTTTAAATGGCACCATGTGGACTTCAAATGTCGCTTTTACTAGACACATTGCCTATTATCCCTTATTCCCTTTGCTAATATCACTGTTTCTTAAGCTGGTGGGTTCTTTCAGACTTGTCCCCATTAATTAGAGGAAAAAAAATGGGAGAAAAAAGAAAAGTAAATTTCAGGTAGATGTCCGCTATTCAGCTCCTGTGTCCTCCACAGATTTTTTATACTCTGGCTTAAGCTCATAAGTTCCTTGGTTGGTGCCTCTCTTATTGTACACGCATAGCTCATTCAGTATCTCTTTCAGGAATTGCTGCAAAGAAAGTAAATTGAAAACTTTCAAACACATGAAACACCTGCTATAAAAGCACATATATAGGTGATTTAAAATTCTGGCCAAGAACTTCTTTTCCTTTTAAAAGCAAATTGTAATTTCTAGGATACTGCTAAAATCATATATTGCAGCAAAAGACACTCAAATCCCCATTATAAACCATAAGATAAATCAAGTGGGAAAAACAAGAAGAAACAGAGCTCGAACAGGGAGGTAAACATCAGGAGATGAAGATAGAGGAAAGTGAGAGGCTTACAGCAGGCTGATCAGTCTCTTGAACAAGTTGCTTTAAAGCCCAATTTGGTTGTCTTTCAAACAGCTTGAACATTATATGCTCCAATTCCCCACGATCCCTTCTGGTTCTCTTCATGTCTGACTGTTTAACTGGTGTTGTTTTCTTCTTATCCTGCTCAGAGATAATTGACAATAAGTGTCAATGTCAAATTCCAACTCAGAACTCGTGTATATTTAAGAGTGAAAAATGACTAATATCATTCTCTAAACCACGTCTTGAGGTACCTTAGGGTTGGATGAAATCAAGCCAACCATTCCAGGCATTGGCCTCATGTGCACTCCACGGTCATTATTAATAACCTTCAAAATACATCATACACACAAAACTAAGATATTTGGCAGGCATCATAGTTACATTGAAACAAAAATGCCTTAGCCAAGCCAATGCATACTCACTGACCTACCTGTATTTGTCTAGTCTTGATCATGGACTTATTAGTCCTTTCACGACACAACCTCCCATATTCCTCGATATTTTCTTCATGTGGTTTCATGTCAAATTTATGCTCAACCTTTCCTTCCATTGCAACCCTACCTATAATGAAAAGAACCAAAAACAGAGCAGAAGTCACAAACAAAAGTACGGATGCAATTCTTTCCCTCCATAAATAGAAGTTGTCACAACCATAAACAGACATGGAGCAGAGGTGACAGGAAAATGCACTGGCTCCTTCTATGCAACATAGAATGCATTTAAGGATTACTGTATCAATTTTTCCCAACAGATATGTAGAGTGACCTATTCATAGCCCCTGTGTCTGTTGATATGTTTCACCACCCTTGCTTACATTGGTGACTAACTAGCATAATGCATTTTAGTAAAAGAAGTTGCTCTCTTGAATGAGCTCCAACTTAAACTGTTTGAATGTTCTTCAAGATTCGGATTTGTCACACTTGCCCAAAAGTACTAAACACACATTTTACGGGCATATATAAGAACCCTCCTAGCTATACCACAGCAAGTGCACCAAGTAACTAGCAACACATTCATAAAACCATAAAAGTAAGGGAAACATCGAATGCAGAATTTATAACCTATCACAGAGTAAATTGCCACTTCAAATCACTGTACAAAGTCACAGTTGAAACCAAGAAGTAATGTTATATTGCAAAATTAAGAAAAAAATAATTCCATTCCTCAAAATACTAAAGAAGCAACTAAACATATCCTTACCTTGACTTGTCTCAGAAAAGATACACATAGGAACAAAATCTTTAAACATATTCAAAGAGTAACTTTTCGGTATATTTCCAGTCTCGGATCCAGCCATCTCCATAGTAAACTGATCATCAACAATTCAGAAGCTCGTAAGAAACAAGAAAACAATAGAAGTTAAAAGTATAATTCAAACCCATGACAAGCATGTCATGAAATCCTTTCACCATTAGCTTATAAAATCAATAAAAACAGAAACTTTTTACTATAATTTTCCACATAAAAAGTATTAAAGAGCGAATTCATGATTAATAAAGAAATGGGTATATCTAAAATTTTCATCCCAACTGCTTAGGGTTAGAGTACCTGGAGAGACGAAGGGTCGTCGGGTTTGCGAGGGTCGAGAGAAAGGACAACCTTGGCAACAGGCTGAGAATCGGAAGAAGAAGCGGCCTGGCTCTTCCATGACTTGGCCACTACCACCGGGCACTTCATTAACCACACCGATCTATCAGCTTTTCCAGTCTCCAAAAAGCCACCGTCGCAGTGATCTTCATCCATCTTCAAGCTCTCTCCTTTCCTTTAGCCTCTGTAAACTGAAAGTTTCTTGATTTCACTAGGCTTAAAATTTCTTCAAATTTCCCTTGGAAGACGCTGACTTTTTTTCGACTCTATAAATTGCTAGTTGAGGGATGAAGAATTGGACCCTGACGAACCGGACGGAACGAATTTAGGACACCGGCTTTTGGGGGCGAAAGAGGCAGACGCATCTTTGGATTTAAGCTAAATAACTGAAAGGCTAAGTGTAATGGGCCTAGGGGCCTTGAGGCTGAGATAGAAATGGGTTTAGGCTGAGGCCTGTCCTCAGCTCATGGGCTGATTGGGTTTTGGTTATTTTTTGTATTGATTCTTTTAACAATGCCCAATCCAAGATTAAAATTTTTTTTTATTATCATTATTTTGGCCCAAGCTGATTGCTGCAAAAATAAAAGAGATCAAATGTTAAAGGTGTAATTACTAACAAGTGATTTGTTTAATTAATTAAAATTTATTTTTTTATAAAAATATTTTAAATTCAAGTTTTATTAATGATCATTTATTATAATCATTTTGAATGTATGATTTATAATTATTTATTTTAAGTTGTTAGGTACAAAGCAAAGGTAAATTTAAAATTTAATCTATTTAGTAATTTAAAAAAATAATATTTAACAAAGTATTTAATTTTTTTATTTATGCTTAAATTGTTTCTTTTTTTATATTAAAAAAATTCTATAATTATTTTTAATTTTTTTTTAAATTATGATGGTAAATGAGTTATTCAAGTGTTGTTTGCTAATATTATCATTTTCTGTTTTTATTTTTATTTTTAGTTTTTTTTAAATTAAAAAAACATATTTGATAAGTTATATTCATTTTTTATTTTTGAAAACTGAAAACAAAATTTTGGAAAGTTTCAGAAATTATTGAAAAAAAATTATGTTTTTAAAATTTTGAAAATATTTTCGATACTGTTATCGAATACTGTTTAGCCGTTCGACTAAAATACCACTACAGTTTTAAATTTTTGCTTCGCCCAGAATCAAACATTTTCCCCTTAAGATTTTAAAATTTTAACTGTTTTTTTTTTTACATGTTTTTATTTTTATATTTTTACAACAAAAATATTCTGTCTAAACATATTTTTAAATTTCAAAATTAAAAATAAAATAAAACAAATATTTCAACAACATAAATCATAAAATAATACCAACCGGTCTTTCAATTTTTATCTCATCATTCATAAGCATGGACCACTTGAAAATTTTGTGGAAAATGATGAAAAAATCAATAAAGAAAAAAAAAAACAACAAAAGAATAAATTGAGGACCAAAGACGCTCCACTCAAAATCAAAAGTTAAGATTTTTTTTTGCTAGAAGGATGATATCATTGATGAGCAAAGCTAGTTTAAAAAAATAATGCCGAGATCAAATGGAACAAAATGGAGTTTTCAAAAAAAAAAATAGTCGTGGGCCAGTGCGTTTGCTTTTCCTGTATATGTTACGTATCAAATTAGGATTCATCGGAGTTGGAGAATTAAAAAAGTTTGTCAGCTTGTCCATAAATTTATCAAATCGGTGAAAATGGACAAATAAATGCAAGGGGGCGGTGGATTCTTTTTTTAAAGAAAAAAGACAGTGAAAAAGATTGTAATTTAATTTTAAAAAATGCAGAATATTTTGCAATTTTACAAAAGAAACAAATTTGAAAGAAAAAGTTCTTTTTTTAATTATATTAAGAGAAAAATCTTAATATAAGTAAAAAATAAAAAACATTTTGATATAAAATTAAACTTCAAATGTTTTATCAAACATTTTTAATCATTAAATTAAAAAAATAAGACGAAAAAAAAAATACATGCAAGAAAAAAGTACTCCAAAGAAAACACACTTTTGTAAGTTTCTTTTACCAGTACACACTTTTTAAGTTTAATGTATTTTTTTTAATTTGATCATAAATATTTTATTTTTTACAAAAAGATAATAGTCCAAATATAAGAAAAAATTGCGGATAATAAGGTTTAAATTTAAATTTTTTTAAATATTATTTTTTAAAATATAATTAAATAAATAAATTAAAATAAATTTTGAATTCAAATTTTACTCTTGTTTAATGTTATCCACAAACAAATAAACTTAATGTACTTTTCATTAGTATATGTTTTGTAGTTTAAATTTCAATAATAATTATTCATTGAATTTACGAAATTGTCTATTAGTACAATGAACATACAGTCTTATGGAATTATCGGTTCAAAAAAGGCCGAGCAAAAATAATTGGGCAAAAATTATATATTTAAGAAACATTTAAAAAAAGTCCAAATTTAGAATGGCGATATTTTCCATTTGTTGAGTGAGCTCAAGTTGTCAAACACCCAGCGAATTAAAAGATAACACGTGTTTTAATATCATCATCCATCCACCAACTTCAGTACTCTGGGAACCACTGTTATAATATCGCTTGTCTATGCGCCTTCGCTTCACGAAGCTTTTTACTTTATAACTTTTCAAAAAATGGATCGCCTCTTTCTTCTCTTCCTCAGCCTCTCTTGCGTATTTGCTTCAGCCGTTGTCTCCGACGTCATCAGCAACGACGATCCGCTGATCCGTCAAGTTGTATCCGACGCCGAGACCGAGGAAGATTCCGGTGACCACCTCCTAAACGCCGAGCACCACTTCACGCTGTTCAAATCCAAGTTCGGGAAAACCTACGCCACCCAGGAGGAGCATGATTACCGACTTGGAGTCTTCAAGGCTAACCTGCGCCGGGCCAAGCGTCATCAGCTCTTGGACCCCACCGCCATCCACGGAGTAACAAAGTTTTCCGATTTAACTCCATCGGAGTTTCGCCGTCAGTTCCTCGGCTTGAAACCACTCAAGCTCCCAGCCGATGCTCAAAAGGCTCCAATCCTTCCGACCGATAACTTACCTGATGACTTCGACTGGCGCGATCGCGGTGCCGTCACTGGCATTAAAGACCAGGTAATAATAAAAAAAATATTTTAACAGATTAGTTGAAATCCGCCCTTTTATTTATGATTATTTTTAAAAAATTTTATTGATATTCAGGGATCGTGTGGATCGTGTTGGTCGTTTAGTACGACAGGAGCTTTGGAAGGAGCCCATTATTTGGCGACAGGGGAGCTCGTAAGCTTGAGTGAGCAGCAGCTTGTTGATTGTGATCACGAGGTTTCAATCTTTCATCCTTTTTCTTTACAGCCTATTGGGTGCTTTATCTAACCAACAACTCAATTAAAAATAAGAGTTGGGTATTTTGCAGTGTGATCCACAAGAATATGGCGCGTGTGACTCAGGGTGTAACGGTGGCCTCATGACCTCTGCTTTCGAATATACTCTAAAGGCTGGTGGACTTGAGAGAGAGGAGGATTATCCTTACACTGGGAATGACCGTGGTCCCTGCAAATTTGACAAGAGCAAAATCGTTGCCTCTGTTGCTAACTTCAGTGTTATTTCCGTTGATGAGGAGCAAATCGCTGCGAATTTGGTGAAGCATGGTCCACTTGCAGGTAAATTTCATGCTTTTTGAGTGTGTTGGGCATCACCACTTTGTAGATTGAATCCAATATGTTTGCTTTTGGTTCTTGCAGTGGGTATCAATGCAGTTTTCATGCAGACATATGTGAAAGGAGTTTCATGCCCGTACATTTGTTTTAGAAGTTTGGATCATGGAGTGCTTCTCGTGGGGTATGGATCTGCTGGTTACGCCCCAATCCGCTTCAAGGAAAAGCCTTACTGGATCATAAAGAACTCGTGGGGAGAAAACTGGGGAGAGGACGGATATTACAAGATCTGCAGGGGTCACAATGTTTGTGGGGTAGACTCCATGGTCTCAAGTGTCGCTGCCTTGAATACAAAATCACAGTAGAATGGCCCTGTAAATAAATGATTAGTAACAGTAGCATCAGTATATCTATCAGCAAGTTATATTTCTAAATTTATGATAGTACTTGAAGACTCCCTAGGCATGCTCTGGCTTGAAACTAAATACCCTTATTCTTATGGGTATCGCCATTGATTGCTCCCTAAGAGGGGTGTATCCTGGAGATGATGTGTTCTAGTCAGGATCTATCTATCTATTTATATACGATTCTGTCAAGTATGGTAAATGTGTGTACCTCTCAGCTCTTGCTAATCACTAAATTTTTCAGTGTCTTTCATGAGTTAATAATAGCTGCAAATATCATCAACGAATGGTGTTAAATTGCATTATGTGATACATTTAGTTGTCATAATTTTTTTTGTTTTCCGGTTAACAGACAAATCCCAAAACCGGCAATGTTGAAAGACAAAGGCATCTCACTTGTGTAAGACTATTGAACAATTACAGACATCGACCTCGACAAGCTTGTTGTTCGACACTTGCTCCCTTTGTTCTCTAAAGATTTCTAATCACAAAAAGCAAGTTCATCAAAATCCTACCTTTGGGCCAATAAACAAATATTCATGTATGTATTTTGTCAATAGTTGCCTGCTGTAACATTTTGAATCTGCAAAATCAAGCCAAAGATGATTAAGTTTTCATTTTTCAAGTTGGTTATACAATTTAACTAGGAACGCCATGCAACAGAGAAGAAATGATTACAGGTTCAATAAACAGACCTTTTTTGAAGCAAAAACAGGGCACCAACCTTCTAATAAGACATTTTTTTGTAACATCTATGCTAAGCATATTCAAAGTGTGACAAATGGATTTTTCTTTCTTCACCTACATAAATTAGGAGAAACAAGGTTCAGTGACCTAAGAAAGCATAGGCTTCAAAAGAACTCAATGAAGGTTAAAGCCAGCCACAGAAACTGAATGCAATTATAAAGACAAGTTAAAACATGTGGTTTACAAGCAAAAAAAACAAAAAAGGAATTAAACCAATTTCAACCAACCAAAAGGCTCCAATGCTCAAAGTGATAGGCAAATTGCCTGCAACAAGTTGCTCTGGTGCACCAGTCCAACATCATGGTAGTTTTAAGCTCTTCGAGTCTGCCAGACACCTATAAATAAGAGAGGTTACAAATTTCAAATTTTCTTTATTTGACACGAAAAGCATGAAACCTCGCCCAGGAACACATTCAAAGAACCATAGTGCTAAAATTAAAGTAAATGTAAAATCTGAAAACTGCAAAATGTTCATATAATAGGTTAGATATACAGCTTGGCATTATGTACAAATATAAAAAGAGAGCACCATGTATGCCACTATATTCGAGACGCATGCATATCATTAACTTATTATCATCCTTCATCATTATGACAGGTGGGTTCCTTTCAACGATGCCAACCTGCGGAAGGTGTTTTTTGCTTCTGTAACAACTTTAGATTAGGCTTTGCCTTCTATTGCTTTTCCCGAAGGCAACAATCTTAGTCAAACCTCTATAAGAATTAAAACAAGGTCAAAAACCAAAGCAGGCCAAGAGACAAAACTGAGAGCTCCTTTTACTGAACAAATTCAAATACCAATTCAAGCATATAGATTAGATCAACTGTTGATTTCCAGGACATAATAATCATTTCAATCCCTATCTCTTCCAAACTCAAATGAAAAAAAAAAAAAAAAGATAGAGAGAGAGAGTAACAATTGTGAAAAAATACTTATTTACAGTTAGTTATAATATTATAATCTATATATTTATATTTGTATATCTATAATTAAGTATTTGTATCCCTATAATTAAGGGCAAAAAATTATGATAAACAATCCTTTAATTATAGGATCAGTTTTAAGAATATTTAATTTTTTAGTTTATCCACTAATTAATTGTATATAAAACCTAGGGTGCTTGTATAATTCTTAATGAATAGTTTTTCATTATTCATTCAGTTTTATTCTTAGTTTTTTCACATGGTATCAGAGCTTTAGGCTCTTATTGGGAAGCAAAATTTTCAACCTTTATTGCTGACTTCTATTTTAGACCTTCATTACCGAACCCTATTAAGGCCTTCATAGCCATTTTATTTTTCTCTTCTTTAACTTTTAATGCTAAGAGTCATTTCTGACTTGTTTCAGTTCAAAAAAGATATTATTACCATCTACTTTAAGGAAGTGTTAACTGAAAAAATCACCAGAGTACTACAGATGTATCGAAAACAAGAAAATTTGGATAAATAAGAGATTGAGAAGCTGAGAAGCCTATTGAAAACCTTTGAAAAACTTACTGGGGTATGTTCATTGGGTAAGGTCTCTCGTTCAAGTTAAAGTTTCTAATTCTCGTGGATTAAATGTCTCAATTAAGCTTATTACAAGTTATTGGGTCATTGACTTAAGAGTCACAAACTATATGACACATTTCTCACAAAAGTTTAGTACATATACTTTGTGTCCTAGTAATAAGAAAATTGTTGTTGTAGATAGTTTACTTACTACAGTGACAGGATTAGGAGATGTTCAAATTAATCCCTCATTTATTTTTAAAAATGTTCTTCATATTCTTGGATTGTCTATTAATTTGATATCTATATAAAAACTTACCAAAGACATGACCTACAAAGTAATTTTTTATCCCTCCTATTGTGAATTTCAAAACCAAAGTTCAAGGAAGAGGATTGGACTTGCTAAGGAGAATGATGGACTATACTCTATTGAAACATCAAGCAACACAAGTAATATCAAGAATAGTTTACCTTTGTCATTTCTTTCTGAAAAATCTCCCCATAAAAATAAAATCTGGCTTTATCATTTTCATTTTGGACATCCTTCTTTTGAAACTTTAAAAACATGTTTCTTTCTTTGTTCAAAAGATTAAATATTAAAAACTTTCATTGTGATATTTGTGAACTTGCAAAGCATAAATGTGTGTCTTTTTTAGTTAACAATAAAAGAAGTTCTACTCCTTTTTACTTGATTCATAGTGACATATAGGATCCTTTTACAATTCCTAACATTTGTTGTGCAAGGTGATTTGTTTCTTTCATAGATGATTATATCAAGGTCTCTTGGATATTTTACTTAAATCTAAATCAAATATGAATAATGTGTTTTTAAGCTTTCAAAACATGATCCAAAACCAATTTGAAGTGAAAATCAAGAGATTTAGATCAGATGATGCAATAGACTATTTCAACTAGAGTTTATCAATCTATTTTTAAAAAAAAATCCATGAGTCATCTTATGTTAATACTCACAACAGAATGGAGTAGCAGAGAAAAAATAATCATTTACTAGCCACAACTCGAGCTTTATTTTTTCAAGCAAACATACCTAAATCCTACTGGGAGAGAAACTGTTCTCACTAGCACACATTATAAATAAGTTACCTTGAAAAGTTTTGGGATTTAAAACTCTTATGAAACTACTCTCACAATTCTATCCTAACTTTAATAACACAAACAACCTCACACCTAAGATATTTGATTGTACATCGTTTGTTTATATTCACAATCATAATAAAGGAAAGTTGGATCCTAGAGTAATTAAGTACATTTTTAAGGAGTACTCATTAACACAAAAATGATATAAGTACTATTATCTTTCTACCAAAAAATTTTGTGTCTACAGATATTATTTTTGAAAAAAATAAATCATTTTTTACTCAACCTTATCTTCAGAGAGAAACTTTATTCATGAAAGCTAGGGATAAAGACTTTTTTTCTTGACTTGTCCTCATCTTCAACATTTTCACTCATTAATTCTTCTGAGTCTAAACCTATTTCTTTTGAATCTAAGTTAAACACTGAATTTGAATATAAACCCATTTCAAATATAGAAGATGTGACAAAGGTTAATATTGTTATTGATTATATGAAGAAATTACAGGTGTACTCAAGAATAAAAGTTTCAAATCCTGAATTAGTGCTTTTGTCTTTTTTCTTGGCTTGGCCAGTCCACTTATTTGATGAATCTGGCGAGGGGGGCAGTGCCCGTTTGTTTTGTAAGGACTGTTGTTGATGAATGAGAATGTTCTTCCTTTCCTTCTCCTCCTTTAAAGGGAATACATAATCAAAGCAGCTGGTCAAACTAAATCTCTTCAAATAGAAAGGAAATCCTTATAAATTGCCCGCTTCTCCGCTTCATTCTCTTCATCTTCCCTTCATTCTCTTTATCTTCCCTTATCTTATAATAGTATAATTCTGGAAATGAAGTAACTACAGTCTTTTAACTCTATTTCTCAAATTGAGTACGAATCTCCTAAAACTATAACTAGTGACTATGATATACCTATTGCCATTAGGAAATGAACCAGACAATGTACTAAGCATCCACTATACCGAATCTTTAAATTTGTGTCAATTGAAAAATTCTCACCATCCCACAAAAATTTTCTTGTGAGCCTAAACACTATTTCTATTCCAACAACATTGTCCAATACATTATCCACTGAGAAATGAAGGCAAGCCATGAAAATAGAAATAGAGGCCTTATAGAAAAATAAGAATGCGAATTGGTAGAATTGCCTAAAGGAAAAAATCTAATTTGGTATAAATGTGTTTTTAATGTAAAATACAAGATGGATGGTATTGTTAAAAGGTATAAAGCCAAATTGGTGGCTACACTTAAACTTATTGAGTGAATTATAAGGAAATTTTTGCTCCAGTTGCCAAGATGAATACAATTAAGATTTTGTTATCATTGGCTGCAAATTACAATTGGCAGCTTTAACAATTTAATGTAAAGAATGTTGTTCTACATGGTGATTTGAAAAAAGAAATATATATGAAGGTTTCACCAGTATTGAGAGGTCATCTAGAAGTAAACAAAGTATACAAGCTAAAAAAGGTTTTATATGGCCTTAAACAGTCTTCTAGAGCTTGGTTTAGAAGATTTACCAAAGTGATGCTAGTAATGGGATATAAACAAAGTCAACAAGATCACACATTGTTTATCAAATACTCTGATTTAGGGATAGTCACAGTTCTATTAGTGTATGTTGATGATATAATTATAATCGAAGATTATGAAAAAGAGAGATAATCTCTAAAACAGTGTTTGGTTAGAGAATTTAAGATAAAAGAGCTAGAAAGATTTAAGTACTTCTTAGGAATTGAAGTGGCTCACTCACAGCATGGTGTTTTCATCTCAAAACAGAAATATATGATGGATCTTTTGAAAAAAAATGAGAAACTCGCATGTAAATCTGCAAATACCACTATAGATCCTAATCATAAACTTG